ATGGCCTTTATGATGTTGAGGTATGTTCCTTGTATCCCAAGAATTTCAAGGGCTTTTATCATGAATGGGTGTTGCACTTTGTCGAAAGCTTTCTCAGCATCTATTGATATTATCATATGGTTTTATATTTCTTTTTGTTGATGTGTTGGATAACGTTGATTGATTTTCGGATGTTAAACCATCCTTGTGCCCCTGGAATGAATCCAACTTGGTCGTGGTGAATTATCTTATGGATACATTGTTGGATTCTGATAGCTAAAATTTTATTGAGGATTTTTGCATCAGTGTTCATTAGGGAGATGGCCTATAGTTTTCCTTTTTGTGTTGTCCTTATTCGGTTTTGGTATTAGTGTAATATTGGCTTCATAGAACGTGTTTGGTATTGTCCCTTCCTTCTCAATTTTTTGGAAGAGTTTGTGAAGGATAGGCACTAATTCGTCTCTGAATGTTTGGTAGAATTCATTTGTAAATCCATCAGGTCCTGGGCTTTTGTTTTTGGGGAGTTTTTGATTACCATTTCAATTTCGCTGCTTGTAATTGGTCTGTTTAGGTGTTCTATTTCTTCTTTATCTAGCTTTGGGTGATTGTAGAGTTGTAGGAATTTGTCCATCTCCTCTAGATTGTTGAACTTGTTTCCATATAACTGTTCATAGTAGTTACTGATTATTCTTTTGATTTCTGCTGTGTCCGTTGTGATTTCTCCTCTTTCATTTATGATCCTGTGTATTTGTGCTTTCTCCCTTTTTTCCTTTGTGAGCCTGGCTAGGGGTTTGTCTATTTTATTGATTTTTTCAAAGAACCAGCTCTTGGTTTCATTGATCTTTTGGATTGTTTTTTTAGTTTCAATTTCATTTATTTCTGCTTTGGTTTTATTATTTTTTTTCTTTTCTTCTACTGGATTTGGGGTTTTTTTGTTGTTCTTTTTTCTAGATCTTTGAGCTTCGAGATTAGGTTGTTTCTTTGAGTTCTTTCTTGTTTTTGATGTGAGCTTCTATTGCTATATATTTTCCTCTTATTACTGCTTTTGCTGCATCCCATACATTAGGATAGTGTCCTCCTTGTCATTCAATTCAAAGAATTTTTTAATTTCTTCTTTGATCTCCTCATTAGTCCAATGGTCTTCCAGTAGTGTGGCTTTTAATCTCCATGAGGTAGGATAGTTCCTTGCCTTCTTTTTTATTGATTTCTAGTTTGATGCCTTCGTGGTCAGAAAAGATGGTTGGTATGATTTCATCTTGGTGTATCTGTTGATGTTTGTCTTGTGCCCCAGTATGTGATCAATCCTGGAGAATGATCCGTGTGCGCTTGAGAAAAATGTGTACTCCGTTTTTTTTGGGTTTTAGTGTTCTATAGATGTCTGTTAAGCCAAATGCTCTAGGTCCTTATTTAGAGCTTTTGTTCTTTACTTATTTTTGTCTTGTTGATCTATCCATTGTGATAGTGGTGTGTTGAAGTCTCCCACTACGTATGTGTTTTCTCTGATGTCTGTTTTCAGAGAGGACAACAGTTGTCTGATATATTTTGGTGCTCTTTCGTTTGGTGAGTATATGTTAATGAGTGTTATTTCTTCTTGAAGTATTGTCCCCTTAATCATAATGTAGTGACCATTGGGGTCTCTTTTTATTTTTTTGAGTTTGAAGTCTTTTTATCTGATATAAGTATAGCTGTTCCTGCTTTCTTTTTTGGCCCATTTGCTTGTAGGATTGTTTTCCATCCTTTGACTTTGAGCCTTTATCTTTTGTAGCTAAATGTGTTTCCTGGAGACAGCAAAAGGTTGGGTTTTGTTTCTTAATCCAGGCTGCAACTCTGTGTCTTTTTATTGAAGAGTTTAGTCCATTTACATTTAGAGTTAATATTCATATGTTAGCATCTGTATTTGCCATTATGTTTGTCTTCCTTTGATTTTTATTCTTTTAATAACTTTTTTTTGGTCTTCTCGTTGTTATTCGTCCCTCTGAGGTTCTGGCTTTAGGATTCCTTGTAGTATTTTTTGGAGTGGGGGTTTATTCGTAATGAAATTCTGGGAGTTTCTCTTTGTCTGGGAAGGTCCATATTCTTTCTTCATGGAGGAAAGAGAGCTTTGCGGGATAGAGTATTCTTGGTTGGCATCTGTTTTCTTGGAGTCTGTTGACTATGTCCCTCCACTCTCTCCTTGCCCGTAGTGTTTCTTCAGAGAAGTCTGATGTCAGCCTGATTGGTTTTCCTTTGAATGTTATCTGTTTCTTCCCTCTTGTCAGCTTCATTATTTTTTCCTTGTCCTGGATTCTTGGGAGCTTTACTATTATGTGTCTTGCTGTGTGTTTCCTTTCGTCGTGGAAGTTTGGTGTTCTTCTTGCTTCTTGTATATCAATTTTCAGCTCCTTCTTCACATTTGGAAGTTCTCTTCAATTATCTCCTGAATATTTTCTCTGTTCCTACACTGTCTCTCCTCTCCTTCTGGAATTCCTATAACTCTTATATTTCCTTTCCTCATGGAGTCAGATAGTTCTCTCGAAGTCTTTCTTCATTCTTTTTCCTTCGTACTTCTCTTTCCTTTTCTGTTTGGTTCTTTTTATTTCTGTGTCTTCAAAGAGAACTTATTCGTTCTCTCCATTTCATCTCATTCTTCTTTCCTTGCTTTTTCCCGGAGTTCTTCTAGTTCGTCCATTAATTCTTTGTTTGATCTCCTGCATTTTCTTTTACTTCCCTCTTTAGGGACTCAATTTCATTCTTCTGACCATTGTTTTTCCCTCTTTAGGTAGGACTCAATTTCTTCTTCTGATCTATCACTTTTTAATCATGGCGAATTTTTTAAATCTTTCTGGAAGGCTCAGAAGTTCTTCCAAGTTGCTGTCGTTGCAATCTGGGGAGTGGTTTTCTTTTTGTGGTATGCTTCTTTCCTGAGGAGTTGTTAGGTTGCGTGTGGTTCTTCTACTCCCTACTGTCTGTTTTCTAATTTGTCGTATGCGTTGGGACACTGTGATGCTCGGACTGACTGGCATCTTGGTGAACTTCTCCGCTCCCCTCTGGCTCTTCCAGGAGCCATCTCTGCCTTCTGGGGGAGCTTTCTGCTGGTTTAGGCAGTTTTTACTGAAGAAATGTCCCTTTCTCAAATGGCGAAGCGGGATGCAGTCCCTGCACCTCGGTTTCAGGCACACTCTTCTGCGCCCCCGGTCTGCCCCAGACGTGGTTGCCTGCTCCCTCTGTGGGCTCAGACTGCTGGTCGGAAGGGGCCTGGCGTGGAATAACTTCCCAGCTGGCCACTGTAGAAGCCTTCTGCCCTTTTCAAGCAGTCTTAAGAAATTTCCTGTTCTATGGGGTATTAGTGACTTTTTTTTTCCTGGTCGCTAGGTGGCGCCAGAGATCTTCCTATTGTCCTTGGGGCTGTTTTTTCGCCCCCCCACCGTGGGACAGGGAACAGAGCGGAATGGTAGGGTACACCTCAACAGCTTTGGGGTGCTGTGTCTGCCTTGTGCCCCACCGTCGTGGAGAACCCACGCCCCTAATTTTCGTGCCCCGGGTCTCAGTTCAAAGCCCTCAGGTCCAGGACGCGGGCTGTAGCCCAGTTCAGTGGCGCGGGAATGGCGCCTTTTGCACCGCTCCCGTGCCTGGGTGCCTGGTTCCTGCTTACTCAGGGAGGGACCTTCACCTCAGTGAGGACCTCCGCGCATCTCCCCGCAAGCCTAGGTCGTCTCCCTGCAAGCCTAGGTCGCAGGCGCGGGTACCTGGGCAGCCGCGATCCAGGTCTGCACTTGCTTTTCAAGCTCCCCGAGTGCGCTGCTTTCCCGCGCAAGCTTACCGGCAGCCCGGGCTGTGTGCGCGTCTCCCGGGTCTTTGTTTCTAATGGCGCCCGGAGCCGTTCCCTCACCGCCGCGGCGGATCCTGCAGGGTTCGCCTCAGCTCCCGTTCACGGGGTGTGGTGGCTGCAATAGTTCCTTTCCACGCACAGTCCCGCTTGCTGCGTCGTTTGTTCTTGTGGGCCGTTTTGGTTTGTTGTTTTCCTCCTCTCTGCCGGTCGGAGAGTGCCGCCTCTGGGCGGGGGAGGGGAGCAGGGTCTGCGCTCCCTCCCTTCTGGTCCTCTTTTATGGCCACTTTCTTCTTCGGGCAGTTTGCTGGCGTCACCCGTTTATCTTCCGTGTCCCAGTTCTCACTGGGACCTGCCGCTTTTCCTCCCTATTAACTTTTTTTAATGGGAGATCTTACTCGCAGCGTCTCCTCGCCGCCATGTTGCTCCGCCCCAACCGGTACTGGTTAATTTTATATTCTGGTGAACCGAGTGTAAGAAATAACAGCAAAAGTTTACTCTCTTGCTAGTGGGTATTTTTCTAAAGTGTCATTGTCTATTTTATTCCCTCAGTAAATAAAGTCTATTAATCACTAAAACTGTATTTGTTGACTAAAGATCTTAGAGGAAAAAAGGCTCGTTTTCTAGAATTTTTTGTTTGAGAATAAAGCTTAGGAAATGAGCTTCAATTTTTATAATGTGCTTCTTTCTCTTACAAGAAGAGATACTTACCTAAGGGCTTCAGTTAGTAGAGTTCTGATTAAATGACATTTTACTATAATTAAGTATTTTGCTAAACTATAGGGGTTAAAAGTATAGATTCTTAACTGGGCTCAATTCCATGCCCTGTTTCATCTGAGTAATATGATATTGAATAGCTATCTTTACCCTTGTGATCCTCAATTTCTGCTTTCTTTTCTCTTAAGTGAGAAAGATAACAGTACCAATTACAAAAAGTTGCTTTGAGGATCAAATAGATCATTACATATTACTTAAATACTAGGCATGTGTTTATTAATCTATCTATCACGCTGTCTTATACATAACAATGTCCAGAAGAGATGAAACACTAGGTGGGATAATTTTAACAGGAATGTATGGGGACTGTAACCAAGATGAAAATGCATACATTGTGCAAAAATGAAAAATGATGTAATTTTAATAGGAAAGCTTCTGTACAGTGGGAATCAGGGAAACAATTAGCAAATGTTTGCTGTTTCCTCTGTCTCAGGTACTTTGTGGATTCATGAAGTCTGCATCAACCCTAGTAATAACTATTTCACATTATAGTGAAGAATGTGGGACTCAGTGAAGTCAAGTAAATATGCTCAAGAACACACTGCTGTTAAGTGTCAGAGAACAAAAGTGAACCAAAGGTAATTTGAGATTTTTCCATGTCTAAATTTGGGAGGAGGAAGTGTGTAAGAGCATTGCAGATGGGGAAGTAAGGCCAAAAATAAAAAAGGAGTGGAGGTAAATCCAAGAAGGAAAAGATGTCTTCCAGTATATACTCATCCATACCTTTAATAACATTAGAGTAAGTTTATGCAAGTCACCCAACTTGACATATCTAAGACAAAGAGGTGAGAATTTAGAGATTCAATAGTCCATTCAGTTAACATTCATTGACTTTTTAGTATGTTAATGTTACTGTGCTTGGAGTTAAGAACGAAGAGAAAATAGCCCACTCCCTGCCTTCAAGAAGTTCACTTTCTGATATGACAGAATGTTGCTTGGTGAGAATGTGTCTCAAACTTGATGTATGCAGCTGCATTACAAAGAGAACATAAGATCAAAGGCTAAATGTAGGAAAATATTTTGAACATCATTCAGTGGCAAATAATTTAAGATAATATGTTAATTCTTAGAATGAACTAACATAAATGGAAGAATGTGCATCATTTACATGATTTTTTGTGGTTTGGTTGACATAACATTTTTAAAGCTTTATTTCTGTAAAGTGCACAATTCAATAGGTTTTGACACATATTCTCATGAAACTATAACCACAACCAAGAAAAGGAATATATATCCATCATTCCGAAAATTTTGGGGCCTCCCTGGTGGCTCAAGGGGTTGAGTCACAGCACTATGAAGCTATCCAGAGCCACTGCTGCACAAATTCGATCCCCGGCCAGGGAGGTGACCCACATGGTGAAGCAGACCTCTCCTGTCTCACCTGCTGTTCCCCTCAGCAGTGTATTTCAGGGTACCACCTGTTCTACTCCCCATTCTGTCTCTGGTGAATCGTCTCACGCCCCCATACCTCTGGCCTGTACCCCAGCTCTTATAAGCATAAAATAAATCTTTAAAAAAAATTTCCTGTTCCACCCCTCACTCCCCTCCTCAAACAAAAACTGAACTTTCTGTAGCTGTAGAATGTGATTCTGTAAATGGAATGACAAAATGTGCACTCTTTTGCCTAGTTTTTTTTCACTCAAAATTATTTTAAGATTCATCATTGTTTTTATGTGTATCAAGAATTTAATTCTTTTTATTGCTGAGTACTATTTCACTCTGTGGGTATAACAAAAATTCACCCAGTGACCTGCTGATGGACATTTGGGTTGTTTCCAGTCTTTGGATATTACTCATTAAGCTAACATGAACATTTGTGTACTTACATTTGTGTGCTTACATTTTTCTTGGGTAAAACTTAGCAGCAAAATGGTTGAGTCTTATTATAAAAGTATCTGCAGCATTTTAGGACACTTAACTTTTAAGGAAATTACCTCAACATAATCACCTTGAGGGCCATCCATTTTGTCCCAAATGCTACTGTTTCATCTTTCTTTAAAGATGTGTAATATTCTTTTACATAATATTTGTACATTACACAAATATTTTTTTGCTATTGATTGGGGGACTAAAAAGCTGCTTCTCAAACAGAATGTACATAACAATTTTAAAAAAAGAAGCATAAAACCATAGGCTGAATGTTACAAATACTTTTGTTGCAATTTTATTAATGATAAATTTGAAAATGTATTTTAAAACTATAATAAATGACATATAATGGAATAGCATGATACATTTGTGTGATTTCTTTATATGGTGAAACATTCAATTCCCAAAAATTTCATACTGTCGTGAAATCTCCTTACTCTAATTCATCCAGACTCTGCAGGTTCAATTTAATTCTCCTTTACTGCCAGAAATACTTTTTTGGAAATTCGTGATAAGTACTGATCTATATACTAAAATACAGCAATAGTTTTAGCACCCAGTAGAGGAAGCACTCTTGAAATAACTAGGTCTGACTTCACAAGGCAATGATATGACGTGTATTTGAAGATTTATAGGTGTTCACCAAGGCTAACAGGAAGAGATGATGATAATATAAAAGTACACTTTGCTGGGGACATTTTCAGAGCATTTTTATCATATTAGGAGATCACTGAAAACTGAGTGAATTTGGATTTATAGGGTTAATGTAGATTAAGATTAATGAAGCAAAATTAACCTTGGTCTAAGCACAAAAATATGGCCTATGTAACAGAAACCATGAGAAAATGGGTGAATTTCTGCTTACTGTCATTCTTGAAATCCATTACTTACATCATGTGCCTAGGGACGTATACATGACTTCTTACTTATGAAGTACTACATTGTATCTGACTTTTTGGGTAGCACTGTGCTTGCCTGCAATGGTCCTGAGTGTAAAAATCCAGGAGTAGAAAAGGTGATAAAAATAATTATAAATGATATGTCTGAATATTAACAGAAAACACTGATCCTCATTAAAATAATTTGGCATGTATACATTTTTTGAACAATTATCTGAATTCAAGCTTGGTATAGTATATATTTTTAAAAAGATTGTACTTTTCCTTCTCAAAATCCAGAAAAACTGTACTTGTATGTGTAACACATAAGTGCACTTGAAAGAGTGGTGGTTGACAAGAATTTGAGCTGGTGGTATCATTTTCTTTAACCTTGAACTAGACTGATAGACAGTAAACGTACACCCCATAATGTATGGTAAAGATTTTAATCAGTGACAGAGGTAAAGGCTAAGAAATAGAACAAATATCAGGAATAGTGAATGATCCACTAGATTGTCTCATGGATTCTTTTTTTTTTTCCAGTTTAACAAATGAGCTTTATGGAAAATGGAAGAGAGCCAATCCTTTTACCCCAATGCTTTAATGGTAAGCTTATCAATTGGAACTTGATGTAATAGGTACTGTTTTTAATGGATTATGGTCTATGAAGTTTCTAAAGTTTGAGCAGCTATATAAAATGAAAAGGTTTAGCAGTGAAGTTTTTCTTTTCTTTCTTTTTTTCCCCAGTAGCTGAATATTGAAAGAGCTTTATGGTTTTCTTCAGTGCCTCGGTCCCTGCACAGCTACTGCTTTGTCAGAATAGCTTTGAGCTTCTTTTATAAGGTCTCCGTTGGGACCTATATTAAAATCATCTCTATGCATTGCAAATTATTCAGCAATGTCAAGAAGTGACACTGTTGTGATTCCTATTCTAGAAGATGCACCATCTAAATATATTGTGGCAGAGGATTCTATGTGAAAGATATATTTTGATATGTGTTAGCTGTGAAAAACTCATGCTAAACTTCCATTGTTCCTCAAATGACCTTCATTTTTCTTAGTAACAACTTCCTTCCTATGTTGTTAGTCACTTTAGGCAAATAGTTCTATTCTTTCACTGAAGAAAATTCAAAGAACAAAAATAAAATTGAAAGAGATGATTAAACAGACAATTGTTAAAGATAAACTGGAAATTCAATATAATAGCAGATATAGAAGACTTTTTTGATTTTAGATGTAGTATTCTCCATCTGAGTTTGTCACTCTGGGTTTTTTTTTTTTTATAGAGGCATGCTTTATTTATTTGTTTGTTTGTTTTGTTTATACATGCACTGGGTACAGTCAGAAGCGTGGGAGGGTGAGAGAATTCACCAGAGCCAGAGCAGGGAGCAGAGCAGGCAGAAGGACCAAAGTACACTGCTGAGGGGAGCAGCAGGCGGCAGGAGAGGTCTGCGCGCCATGTGGGACCCTCCTCTGGTGGCCGGGGAGCAGCCAGGGATCGAACCAGCACCGCAGAGGCTGTGGGCAGCTTTGCAACCCAGCGCTCAACTGCTGTGCCACCGGGGAGGCCCATTCTGGGTTTTCTTTACGTTTGTGTCCAGTGGTGGAAGAGGAGAATATGTTGATGACCCGTGGTTTGTCTGTAGACTTCAATCCGTAACTGAGGAACTCTTTTTAGGTAAATCATTTCTGGAGCTCAGTTTCAAAGATAATGAATCATTTTTGCTGTTATAAGCTTTATATTACTTTGTTGCTCTGCTTTGTTATTTTGAAGGAAATATGTCCTGCTGGTATGGAGTTCCTTTTACTGTCTAGTTTCTAAAGTTTGAAGAAGGGTTTATTGCTTTTTCTAGAGCACAGTAAAATTCTACTATCCTACAAAATAGTAGGAAAAAAAATCCACATACACATTTCAGCTATGAAAGTCAGCCAGACCTTAACAAGAAATATATGTTCATCAGGACAATCCATTGGTTTTTCAAGACAAGTAGATTCACTCATTCCTAACACTCTTTTGAAGGGGAAAAATAAAATAATTCACTTGGTCAGTTTTGCACACAAAGGAGAAAACTTTCTGCCAACTCAATCACTTTAGCATGATAAATGTCTCGTTATCTATGGGTGACAAATGTCAAATTCAGTAGAAACTGAAGAGAACAATAAGGTCCCTGGGAATGGCATTTTAGGGGAATTCACAAGACTAGGTATAGAAGAAAGAGAAAAAAAAAAACACAGAAGAAACAATTGGAGAATAAACATGAAAGGTCATGTAGAAGAGTCTACTAAAAATGGAGGGATAAAAAATAGTGTAATGGTTATTATGGAAGCAAGTTAGGGATGTAGGTATTATTCATCACTATGGATACATGGAAATTGGTTTAATGATTTATTAAAAATAGATTTGTGATTTAGCAACTGACTTTACTTGAATTTCAAAAAAAAGCATACATAACAAATAGTAAAATAAGTCTTAAGCACCCCCTTTATATGAATAAAGGTGATCTTCCTTGTCCTTTCTTGCCATAATTGATTTAGGTAAAGAGAATTTGCAAATCAAAACTACAATGAGATATCATCTTACACCAGTGAGAATGGAACATATTAAAAAAAACTGGTAATAACAAATGGTGAGGATGTGGAGAAAAAGGAACTCTCCTGCACTGCTGGTGGGAGTGCAAACAGGTCCAACCACTATGGAAAGCTGTGTGGAGATTCCTCAATCTGCTAAAGATAGAGCTTCCATATGATCTAGAAATTCCACTCCTAGGTATTTACCTGAGGGACACAGAAACATTAATTCAAAAGGGTACCTGCACCCCTATGTTTATAGTGACACTATTTACAATAGCTAAGCTATGGAAACAACCCAAATGCCCAAGAATAGAGGACTGGATCAAGAAGATGTGGTACATATACACAATGGAATATTACTCAGCAATCAAAGATAAACTCATGCGATTTGCAGCAACATGGATGGAACTGGAAAGGATCATGCTCAGCAAAATAAGCCAGAAAGAAAAAAAAATACCAGATGGTCTCACTCATAGCAAGAATTTAGAAAACCTAAATAAGGGACCAGGAAAAAGACTAATTATAATAAAGTAAAAATCAAAATCAACAAGCAACTATAAACCAGAGACACACTAAAGGTGCGGGGGGAAAAGGGGGTCTCCACTGGTGGCACAGGAGGTTGAGTGCAGCGCTGTGAAGCTGTCCGCAGCCTCTGCAGCACCTGTTCGGATCCCACATGGCGGGGCAGACCTCTCCTGTGGTGCCCGCCTCTCCCCTCAGCAGTGTATTTCATCAGTCTGCCTGTTCTGTTTCCCACTCTGTCTCTGGTGAATCTTCTCACCCTCCTGCACATCTGGCCTGTACCCCGGTTCTTGTATAAATAAATAAATAAATCTTAAAAAAACAAGGGGGAGTTTTTGGGGTCCTCTATGTGAGATGAAAAAATGTTCAACATCACTTGTCATCAGGGAAATGCAAATCAAAACTACCGTGAGATACCATCTTACACCAGTGAGAATGGCACATATTAAAAAATCTAGCAACAACAAATGTTGGCGAGGGTGTGGAGAAAAAGGAACTCTTCTGCACTGTTGGTGGGAGTGCAAACTGGTCCAACCACTGTGGAGAGCTGTGTGGAGATTTCTGGACCTACTAAACATAGAGCTTCCATATGATCCAGCAATTCCACTCCTAGGTATTTACCCAAAGGACACAGAAACATCAATTCCAAAGAACACCTGCACCCCTATGTTTATAGCAGCACTGTTTACAATAGCTAAGCTTTGGAAACAACCCAAATGCCCAAAAATAGATGACTGGATCAAGAAGATGTGGTACATATATACCATGGAATATTACTCAGCATTCAAAAAAAGATAAACACATGCAATTTGCAGCAACATGGATGGTGCTGGAAGGGATCATGCTCAGCGAAATAAGCCAAAAAGAAAAAGAAAAATACAGGATGGTCTCACTCATAGCAGGAATCTAGAAAACTTAAATAAGGGACCAGGAAAATGAATAACTATAAGAAAGTGAAAATCAAAATCAACAAAAAACTATGAACCAGAGACACTTTTAGGGGGGCGAGGGCGGGAGGGGAGGGATTGGGGTCAGAATGGGGGGACTGCAATTGTATGGGGAATATAAAAATAAAATTTATTATTAAAAAAAAAAAGGAAAAAGACAAGGGGGATGGGAATTGTATGGGGACTATAACCAAGATGAAAATGCATACATTGTGCAAAAATGAAAAATCATGTAAAAATATATAAAATAAAATTAAATTAAATTAAAAAGTGAATTGAATTCAGTCAGATAATGAGAGAAAATTTTGATGGGTTCTTGAAAATTATTTTTAAATTATCTTTGCAAGAGTCATTGAGGATAGCAATATTGAGCAGTGAAGATAGAGAAACATAAAATTCATATAATAATTTCCATTTTGCTACTAACTAGCTAGTCCTGTCTTTGTCAATTGTCCTGGCACCATTTTTTTCTGATATAAAAGAACTTCTAAGGTGATTATTAAGATATCTTTCCATTGTAACCTTTTATGGTCTACAGTTGAATACTTGCTAATTCTGGAGCCAGATTGCCTGAGTTTGAATTCTGCTTGCCATTCATATAAACTGTCTGACCTTGGATCAACTCTAACCTCTCTGTGTTTTGGTTTCCTCATCTATAATAAAGAGTAACTAAATGAAAGAGTTGTTTTGAGAATTAAATGAGTTAATACATCTAAAATGTTTCTAATAGTTTCTGGCATGTAGTTTAATAAGTTTATTTTTAATGGATATAATATTAGGGTATCTACATCAGGTATTATCACCATAGCGCACCCTCCTGGATACCTCAGATCTATGGTCAACTTTCAAGGGTTGGTTTTAAAGTTTGTCTTTGTATGATCCTTGTTTGGTTTCTCTATAATCCATATATAAGTGACATCCTGTATTTATATTTTTTCTTCTGGCTTATTTGAGTTACAGATGTGAGGGGAGGGGAAGGGCATAATGAACTAAAGTGGAGGACTATGGGTGCTTTAGTGCTGGGAGAGCTCTGGTGACCACACTTAAGGGAAAAATTCTATACTATAAAAACATTAACAAGGATGTAAAACAATAGTACTTCATTAAAAATTAATTAATTTAAAGAAAGAGGTGAATGAATGACATATTTCAAAATTACCAGCAGGTATTTGATGTTTTGCTCTATAGTGTCTCTAAATATGATATATACCAAGGACAGGATAAAATACAGCATAGTTATCCAAGGATCACATGATCAAATTATAAAATGCATTCTTGCTAGTCCAATGGACTTTGGAACTTTCATTTTTTTGGTGTCTATATAGCAATTTTCAGCTTCAAAATTAAATTATTTCTCAAATTGGCCCCATTGTTGACTCAACTGCCATTTATTCTGCAGGAAACAATTCAAGTCCCAGTACTTGTGCTTGCCTGTCTTAGATACAAGTAAATCTCTAAATCCTCTGCTAAAAAATCCTTACTCCCCCCACCACCATTTTTTCCCACATGATGAGGTCTGTAGAATTTAGCTGCATCTCCTTTAAGTCATTAAATATGTTCATGAAG